GTGTGAATGCTGACTCAGTGGTATGAATGTTGACTCAGCGGTGTGTATGTTGACTCAGCGGTGTGAATGCTGACTCAGTGGTGTGAATGCTGACTCAGCGATGTGAATGCTGACTCAGCGATGTGAATGCTGACTCAGTGGTATGAATGCTGACTCAGCGATGTGAATGCTGACTCAGCGATGTGAATGCTGACTCAGTCGTGTGAATGCTGACTCAGCGATGCTAATGTTGTATGAATGATGTGTTAAAAGTCTAAAGCTGAATCCAAGAACAAATATCTTTTTCCTATAATCTAACGATCTTGGTGTTTTATTTCCGTTTAGTTCTGCACGAACAGCTTGAGTGAAAACTTAAATTCTGGATCAGTATCGAGGATTTCAAAGAACATTTGGGTTAAAGGATCCATCTCTGAATATAACTAGAATATCATCAACATAACAGTGAAATCTGATCCCGACCTCAGGTGACTTTGATCCTATTTGTACACCCTCCACCCCACCCCTGTCTCTGATCCTGTTTGGGGTCTTCATGGACCAGATCTCAAGGCTCATTTTGTAGAGTTCACATGGACAGGATCTTGAAGAATCCTGTCCATGTGAAGAGCTGAGCTGAAGGACAAAGTTCTCATGTTACTGGTCCGTATATGTTCCAACCCTCGCCTGTGGTCATGGGGTTTGAACCAGGACCCTCAGAGCCAGATCCTGGATGGCAGCAGCTGAAATGAGGGTCCTTTGTAGGGTGGCTCAGCCTAGCGTTAAGGTGAGGAGCTTGGAGCATCTAAAGAGTCAGCTGAGCAGGTTCAGAATCTTGATTAGGTATGTCCTGAGTATCTGGAGTCTGACCCCGACTCAATCTCTGGTCTGGAAACACCTCTGGACCCTCATGGATGAACCGTTCCTCACAGTGTCTTCGGCTGATCTCAGCCGTCTGTTGTTTTTTTTCATTTGATCCTCTCTAACAGCCGAAACCAACCTGACTGCAGACTGTTTGTCTTTTGTGTGTCCAGTTCTGTGAGGGGATGAAGGCTCTGATCCGGGACCGGCGGGTGGTCGTCCTGACGGCTCTGTTGGGCCTCCTGTCCTTGGTGTGTTTGGGAGTCTCCTCTGGCACCGCCCTGCCATCCCTCCTCGTCCCCTTCACCCTGTGGATGGCCAGCTAAGACCCGGCTGGACCTCCTTCAGTGCTGGAACAACCCGAGCCTAATGGACTTTGGACAGAAACAAAAGCAGACTTCTGCTGCTCTTCTGGTAAATATGAGCTGAATGTCCAAACAAAGACGACATGAAAAGGGTCAAATGTTCTGATGACCCAGCCCAAACCCATTTATTGGACCTTCAGGGTTATTTTTGACACAATGTTCGTCCAATGACATTTTTGTAAAAAGTTAAGAAACGTTTTAAAGACTTGATTTGAATTCGACTCAGACTCGTAATTTACAGTTTATTTTATTTTTGATTAACTTTGTTCTGAGTATCTTCAGTTTCGTCACATGAACACACAAAACATTGAATAAAATCATGCTTCTGTCCCTCGGGCTTTGTTTCAGCTGAAAACGCTGAAGTGTAAATATCTGTAAATATCCTGATTGACACTTGAGTAAAGAATTTATTTTTTACATGTTTGTAACACTTTATGTTTTTATTGTGTAAATAAAGACATAAAAACAACAAACGAGTCGTGTTCTCTCTTTAGAGCGCTTTGTTGTAAATAAATTCAGAGTATTTTATTCATTTGGGTTGAACAGGAACTCATTTTAGAGCTTTTACCGTAGTTTGATCATTTTTATTTACACTTAGGCAACAAAATCAGAACAACAAATCTTATGAAAATAATTAAAATGTTGATTTTAATATAAATAAAAATTCAGATTTGAAAACTTGTATTTATTATTTCCATGTGTATATTTAAGTTTGTTTAAAAATAATAATAATAATAACCCCACGTTCCTTTTCAGTACCATATCTAGTCTAATGAAAAATCCTCTCTCTGTTGAACCATGTGTCCCTACAACTATAAGCAGTGATGACTTCATGAGATTCTTTATAAATAAAATTGTTTCAATTAGGGAAAAAAATTCAAACCAACATTCCTACTATCGCCTCTGGTTCTGTGTCAGACGAGGCAACTTTTAAAATGTTGATTTATGTTTGGACTGTTTTTGTCCTGTTGAGCTCTGAATTGTCAAAATTAATATCTTCATCTAAACCATCCACATGTCTGCTAGATCCCATCCCAACCAGGTTGTTTAAAGAGGTATTTCCCTATTTAATAACCACGTCTTGGATCTTAATAATTTGTCTTTAATAAATGGTTACGTACCACAGAGCCTTAAGATTGCTGTAATTAAACATTTACTTAAGAAACATGACTTTGACTCAGGAATCCTGGCTAACTATAGACCTATATCTAATCTAACTTTCACCTAAAAAATTGTAGAGAAAAATCTAAAAAAGTTCAATTTGGTCCTCTGGACATTCAAAAAAAAATTTGTAGAAACGTTTCGTCTTTTATCTGAAAGACTTCCTCAGTCTGAGGTGCTGTATTCTGTTCAGTCCTATAAATAGCACCTTCTCAGAGTGGATCAACCAATTTGCTGCTGACAACCAAAACCAGCTGATCACATGCTCAAGAAGGTACAACTTCAATGCAAACTTCACTTGATCAAATTGCTCCACTGAAAAAGAAAGTAATCAGAGGAAACTGGCTCCTTGGTTCAATTCTGACTTACGTACTTTAAAGCAGCATCTAGAAACCAGGAGAGAAAATGGCGCTCTACTAATGTTGAAGAATTTTATTTAACTTGGAAAGATAGTCTGCTAACATATAAAAAAACTCAAATAAAATATAAAATGTCCAGAGGACCTGATTTAACTTTTTTAGAGTTATCAACTAACATTCGGCTCGTTGTTCCTGGAGGATCTTTATTTGGCAGCTTTGTTCCGGGTCAAGGCATTTTTATAAATTCTCTCTGAGCAACTGCAGGTTTTAAATCTGCCTGGACCACCAGACTCTAATGCCCCCCCCACCCACCCCCTTCCCCAGCAGAATAAAACCCTCTGAGGGCTCAGCTGGTCTCTGTCTCCTCACCATGTTCCCTCTGCAGCTCCTCGCTCTGGTCTTCATCTCCTCCACAGCACCAGAGACTCCTCCTGAGGAGGAGGAGAAGAAGCAGAAGTTTGACCTGATGTTCAGGAGGGGGGACCTGCTGGAGGTCCCTCGGACCCTCTTTACACATTTTGGGATCTACCTGGGGGGAGGCAGGTGAGTGTGCTACGAGCTGATTGGTCGGTTCCAGATCTGCTGTGGAGCTGGTTCTGGCGTTCTTCTTCTCTGATTTTATTTTTCTTTTTATTCAAACTTTCCTTCAGTTTGTTGTTTCTTACAAACTTCTGACACTCGTTTATCCGTTTACTATTCCTTTTCGTTTATTTTTTTGTTTCCCATCTTTCCCTGGTTTCGTTCTTTCCTCAGGGGCACCTCCAAGGGAGGACTGAGGGGGGACCTGGCCACCCCTAAAAATTTGATTGCCCCCCTCAGACAGTTAGTCACAAGGTTTTCCTGAGTGTTTATTTTCACTTTCCTCCGACTTCAGTTGTTTTTGTGATTTTTAAAAACTTTTTCTTTTTTTAAGCTCTTTTTGTTTCTTCTGTCTTTTTGTTTCCCTCCAGAGTGGCTCACTTCATCCGAGACATCCTGCCGGTGGTCTCCGGTGACACAATTCTGATCAAACAGATAGTCACCAACACCCGGCTCATACTGGGAGTCCTGGCCAAGGTAACAGGTGTAGTAGTACATATACGAGATATATGCATACAATTTTCACGAGTTCCTCATCTTTCTGACTGTGTAATGTCGTGCATTGAATTTTAACAGAAATGCGAACGAGAGACGTTATTATCTTTGACCCATCAAAATGAATGCGGTCATTTATTTTCAGAATCAAAGTTTAACATCAAACATTTACATTAATTTGGCAAAATATGAAAATAATAACAGACAAGTTTCACAGATAATGAGCTTCAATCACGCAGCGGTGATTGAGGACTTTGCTTCAGATATTTCTAAAATATCTGTACTGATTTTAAGAGAAAGCAGAGTTTAAGATGAAATGGAGATTTATCTTACAGAGAGATTTGTGAGGGAATTAATCTGTTATGACCAGAACGTGCACGCTCCATCAGATCTCAGCTTGCTTCCGGTACACTTTAGTCGAAGAAGAAACTGTTACCTGGTTGACGATGACTCAATGTCGGTATAGAATCCTTCAGACTCTTTCAGCGTCTCCGTTGAGAGCAGCTGAAATCCTTCGAGAGTCGTGCGTGGTGTTCAAACAGAAATTATAATTCCAAAACGTCTCTGGATCATCCTGAACGCGTCTGCATCCAAGAGCTCTAACTCCATCACTCTGTGCGCTCTCTAGTTGAACTCATTTCTGAGTACAGCAACACAGCAACCAACAAACTCCAGCAACTCAGCGTCTCAGCTTCTTGCAACTCCTTCAACTCTCCTTAACTCCTAACATGAACTGGGAAGTTGCCACATTTTAAATGGGTCGACTTCCGGGTCATTTGAGAGCTTTTGATTGGTCGATGGACCAGGAATAGAGGTGTGGTGTATGATGTAAGATGTTATTAAAAATCAAGGATTGTTTAGTAACGAACAGAAAGATTATTGTAGGACTTCAGACTTCGTGGAGTCTCACACTTATAATCTTCTGAAAAAGTTTAAACATGACATCTTTCTCGGTAGTGTTGTAGTACTCGAGACCGGTCTTGGTCTCGAGACCGGTCTCGAGACCACTTTTTGACGGTCTCGGTCTCGTCTCGGTCTCGACCGCATTTGGTCTCGGTCTTGTCACGGTCTCGGACATTGAGGTCTCGGGATTTTTTTTCAAGACCAGTCAAGACCACAACTGTGAAAATATCACTAAATTGCCAGAATATTGTCCAGTTTATTTGTTAACATCTTTGCTTTTACTGGATGCAAAACATACCGATTCAAATTCAAGCGATAACGTGACTCATAGCAGCTAGCTACATGTTTTTGTTACCACTCCAGTGTTGCCAGATTGGCTGGTTTACTGCCAATTGGCCAGTTTTCGTTCTGATTTTGCTGGGAACTCTGGGAAGATTTTTGTTGGACTGTTCCGTTTTGCCACATATTGTTAAATTACCTTGGCTTGTACTGATGTGGGTTTGTGTTCAAAAAGTAAATATACTGTAACAAATATAGATTGTGCAGGTTTTTGTGTGATGTTGCGGTTTTTAACCGATTTTTTGCTGGAAAATCTCGACTCTATCTGGCAACACCGAGCCCACCTCCTTTCACTCGCAAGCGTCAGGGAAGAAAAGTTAGACTTGTTTGTGTTTAGAACAAGAGAAGATGTCTTCTAAATCTGCTGTTATAAAGTTTGGCTATTTGAGTCACAAAGAGTATGTTTCTGTCGGGACTACATCCAACTTTTATCGACACCTGGAAAGGAAGCACAAAGAAAGGTAAGCGCCGCAGCTTTGTGTAAGTGATGCTAGTAAAGCTAGCTAGTTAACGTTATCAATCTGCCTCTCTTCCAAGAACAATACAAACAGAACGTTTTATCAAGTATGGTTTATTTGTCATATGCAAAATCAACACAAGGTCGACAACAATGCAGTGAATTGCTTAGGACGAGAAAAACAGTCTTGACTCGCCAAAAACAAACAAAAAAATAACAACAACAAATACCAAAGCATGCATCACAAATACTAAAATAAGGGACAAAAAGTGGAAAAAGTAATTCATCGACATTAAATCTAAATACATCTAAATTAATTAATGTGTGTCAGACTCAGACCCGCTTTGTTTAGCCCTTAAATGAGTTTTACTTTATAACACTGATATAATTAACATATTAAGGGAAGTAAGCAAATTCACTGTTTACATACAGTTAAATCAGGTCCTCTGAGTGTGTGTTAAAAGAAAAAAAGTAGAATATTATCTGCACAGCTTTTTTCTACCTTTTTTTTCTTTTAACACTCCCAGAGGACCTGATTTAACTTTTTTAAAATTTTCTACCTGGGTTATTGAGCATGCATAAGGACAAATTCACTGTTAACTTTGAGAGACTGAGGGGACAGGGCATGTGGTAACAAAATGTAGAAACGTTTCATCTTTCATCCAAAAGACTACTTGACTTCTTAACAAAAGACTTCATTGTAAGAGGGACTGTCTTCTTCTTACATCGCTGATATTGCTAGTATCACTCAGCCCCCTGTGAATAGCAAGCAACCATCAGGGTGCCAACGATTCATTGTTAGGCTGATGGTCTCCCTTAACATATTTGGCAAACTGGTTGATCCACTGTGAGAAGGTGCTAACTGTGTTTAATATGTCCTGATGCATGCTCAATCACACAGGTAGAAAAATCTTAAAAAGTTAAATCAGGTCCTCTGGGCGTGTTAAAAAAGTAAAAATAAAAGGTAGAAACATTTCGTCTTTCGTCCGAAAGACTTCCTCAGGCTGAGGAGCTGCATTCAGCTCAGCCCTATAAATAGTGCCTCCTCACAGTGGACCAACCGTTTGTTGTTGATGAAACTAGCTGCTCACATGTTCAAGGAGGACCATCAGCCTAATGATGGATTGTTAGTACCCTGATGGCTGCTTGCCTTCACCGGGGGCTGAGTGATACTAGCAATCACAGCATTGTAAGAGGGGGACAGTTGAACCCGGAGGCCTCCACCCCTGCTTAATGATGGACGGTTTCTTTTCACAAAGATGGCCTCCTTTACTCCTCTCTCAAACCATCGTTCCTCTCTATCAAGGATGTGAACATCTTCATCCCTGAAAGAGTGACCGCTGGTCTGGAGATGAGTGTAAACCGCAGAGTCTTGGCCTGAAAATGTAGCTCTTGAGTTTAATATAGCTCCTCATATTGAAGAAGTCTTTTGGATGAAAGACAAAACATTTGTATAATTTTTTATTGTTTAAACCCATCCAGAGGACCCAATTTAACTTTGTTAGATTTTTCTAAGTTTAATTTTTGCTTATGATAAACAATGGAGGATATATTTGACATACATTTATGAAGTTGCTACTTATTTTTAAGTGTTCTTTTGATGTAATTGATGTTCATGACCAGATATACTGATTCCTCCTTTGCATTTTTTAGGTTCCTGGAATACAAGGCAGGGCAACAGAATGATGTCACAGTCACACAGCCATCAATTTCATTATTTACGCAGAAAGTGCAGCTCTACAGCCCACAATCACCAAGGCAACAAGCCATCAGTCAAGCCATTGTCCAAGATTTGATCATTGGGTGTTGTCTGCCTCTCTCACTTGTGGAAAACAGTCATTTTAAACACTTTCTTGAAGTTATGGATAGTAAATACACACCAATCTCTAGAAAAACGGTTTCTGATAGACAAATTCCAGAGTTGGTAATCAAGGTCAAGGAAACTGTTTTGGAGAAACTGAAGACCCAGTCATCTGTGTCATTAACAACTGACCTCTGGTCTGATCGCAGGCTACGCTCCTTCCTTGGGGTGACCGCCCACGTGTGCTACAAATCAAAGGATTCCTATGCACTTGAATCCTACCTGCTGGACTGTAGGCGTTTCACAGGCAGACATACTGGAGAGCACATTGCGTCTGCCTTTGAGGAGATCACAGAGGAATACGGTATCCATGACAAAATTAGCTATATCATAACAGACAATGCTGCCAATATGAAATGTGCTTTCAAAGTACACATGCCCCAATCTGATGACAGCGAGAGTGAAGAGGAGCATTTAGATGACGAGCACCTGTGGGAGGACATTAATTCTCAGGAAGACACCGAATTACCCTGGTCATCTGGTGCACGTCTTTCCTGCTTTGCACACTCTCTGCAATTAGTTGTGAATGACGGCATGAAGGAGGTCAAGGCCATTTCTCACACAATAGCCAAAACATCACGGTTCACCACCTTATTGCATAGCAGTTCACAATTCAAAGACAAGTTTGAGGCTACGTTTGGCACTAATAGGACCATTCCAGCTGCAAACACAACTCGATGGAACAGTATATTTAAACAAGTACAGGCCTTCACAGCTCTGGACCACAAAGCCCTGAATGAAATGTGCAGCAAGGATCACGAGGAGTTGGTGTTTAGTGCCCGTGAGTGGAACCAGCTGAAGGAACTGAGTGCAGTTCTTGCTCCATTTTCTGAGGTAACAGACCTGACAGAAGGGGAGAAATCAGTTACCATTAGTATGGTGGTTCCAACTGTCCTGGACTTGAATACACACCTCCTCAAGATGGAGGACACTCGAATGCAGTGCCAGTCATTGGTCAGAGCCCTCCAGCAGTCTCTGGTGAAAAGATTTTCTGGAATCTTTTTAAAAACAAGCATGGCCAAAGACAGCGGAAGAGAGGAACCTTTTAACCACAATGTTTACTTCTTGGCCACCATGCTGGATCCTCAGTTTGGCTTAAGCTGGGTGGACTTAGATGTTACCAATGGGGGAAATTCAACATCAGTGAAAAAGTTCAGAGATGAGCTTAAGAAGACACTGACAGGTCAGTATATATTTTCTCTGCTGAAAATAAATGTCTTATTTGCAAAATCATAAATCCTAAAATATTTCAAATTAGTTGTCTATAAAAGCCTTAACTAGTCTTACAGTGGAATTCATAGTCTTCATTTCATCTGTTTACTTTTGTCATAAAAACATATTTTGTACACTCTGAGCCTATTGAAACAGATATTCTTTATATTTAGGCTGGTAACATGCCTATTGTACACAATCCTGACTCACTTTTATATTAAATGGGACTGTACTTATATAGCACCTTTCTATCTTATCAGACACTCAAAGCACTTTACATTACAATCTGTGCCTCATTTACACATTCATACGGCACTCTATTAGATCTCTACAAAGCTAATTGAACAAATCATTCAAAGGAGACTAATCAGAGCTTTATCACATTCATACACTGATGGGACGCACATCGGAGGCCCCTAATAAAAGGTCCTAAACGTATTTAATTCAACTCTGATATGTGCATATCCTTTTAAATCTAACTCAGTCATTGTGTTTGTGTTTTTCAGAAACATTGATCTTAGAGGTGGAGAAGATGATGGACATGAAAGAAGACACCTGCTCAGAAGTTGTGAATGTGGATCCAGCCGCAGCCAGTGATTCGCCACCAAACAAATACCCTCGCCTTCTGTCCCGCTACAAGGCATACAAAAAGCACAGCTCAGACCAGGATTCAAGCATACACACACAGATAAGGAAATACTTTGATGCCATCCGTGACTTTGACACAGACAATGCACTTGTCTTCTGGGCAAAAAACCACACTAGATTTCCACAACTGCACAATTTGGCAATGAAGGTCCTATCAGTCCCTGCCTCCTCTGCACCAGTGGAAAGGGTTTTCAGTCAAGGAGGCATTTTAATGAGACCCCATCGTGCACGTTTAGGCCACAGAATGTTGCAATCACTCATATTTCTTAAATGCAATGAAACACTTCTTTAAACTCCAATAATCAGTTAGTCATCTGGACAGTTTTTTTTGTTTTTTTTTTGTGGAAAGACTGACGTTTTGCCCTCCGGGGGCTGTCGTCTCCCCCGTCGACTCCTTCCAAAATGCAGCCACAGCCAAAGTGGGATTTTTTTTAAGTAGTTATGCATCGGGCAAACTTTGTGTTGCTTTGTATAGCTGCAACGTTGAAATTGATTAGCCTCGTGGTTTTCTTTCTGTAGTAGTTTTTGTTCACATTCCTGGCTGCCTGTAGTGCAGTTATTTCTCTGAAACTTTATGAATATGAATAAGCTACTAAGTTTTCTTGGGTGATTTTTATGATACTGTGTTTTTTTCTTAATGTGCCTTGGATCATACAATGGAAGATCCCCAAGCAAATACACAAGTCTAAATGAAAATTAAACAATTTTAGAAAGTAACTGTTTCAAGTTTCCAATTTAATCCTAAAGACTGCATTTATACTGCCCAGTTTGTCATGTTGACTTCAAGAGACCAAAAGAAGGTAAATGCATCTTGAGTTCTGTTTTATTAGGATCAAAATGGGTCACTTAAATTAGAGTTTAAATAAATTAAAGTAAGCATGCACAAGTTGTGTACAAAAGACATTGCAGTACAAAATTCATTTCACAAACAACACTGTTTAAAAACGTAAAAACATTACTGTCTGGTAAAATCATCAGTTTTGACACATTAAAAAGGCTCATAACTTTATAAAAATATTTTATAATAACATTTTATTTATTTTTTTATTTTATTTGTGGATTTGGTCTTGAATTGGTCTCGCCCTCCCTCGGTCTTGGTCTTGTCTTGGTCTCGGACTTTAAAAGTCTTGGTCTTGTCTTGGTCTCGGACCCTAAAAGTCTTGGTCTTGTCTCGGTCTCGGTACACTCTGGTCTTGACTTGTCTTGGTCTCGGGTTAGGTGGTCTTGACCACAACACTATTTCTCGGTAAACATTTTAGTTGACCGAAAACCGACCTTTAACATACTTACATTGCAGACAGAAAAATCAAGAAATGCATATTAACCTGATTTCTTCTTTGAATGAGGAATAAAAATCATTACTTACTGTTTATGTAAAATAAAAATGAGTAGTTCTTTTCAACCTGTAACATTGAGTGAACTAACACAATTTTGATTATCAAACATTTGTAAAACAGTGATGATCATAGAGAATTGTCTTTTCTGCTTGATTAATTCAAGAAAGAAAGTCACCAGATGGCTCAGACTGTATTCAGATCAATGAAATAACAGTCTCTGTCCATCTGATAGATTTGAGGTCATCTGGGTCAGATCAGGGTCAGATCAGGTTCACTACACAGGTTTAAGTTTTTCTGTGATTAATCCAAACATTCTTTAAAATGGGACCAGTCTATGGCACATCTGGTCTAGTAGTATCATTTTGGACCTGATGGTGGCGATGTTGACCCAGCTGTCTCAGGTTTGGGTTCCTATGGTGACTCCAGGTGTTTCTGTCCTCAGTGTGGCAGCGTGAGGGTGGACTCTGTGGAGGACTTCGCCTACGGAGCCGAGATCCTGGTCAACCCCATGGACAAGGTGCTCAGTGATCGGGTCAAATAATTAGGAGTGACAGAACTCTGACTTTTGGTAGCAGCACATGTTGAAGCAGAAAGTTCCTGGAGAAACTTTGATGAAGACTGCCAGACTGCTGCCAATTGAAAACTTTTGATTGACAGTACTGTGTTGGGGTTTGCTCTCAGATACCAGTATACTAAATTTCAGCTCAATAGCACTAACTATGCAAGAGTTATCATATTTTCTCCTTTTTAGCTAAGGTGGCCATCTTGGATATTTGATTTTCATTAGGAATGTATTACAACTCGCTCTCAGCTACAACCATACCTAATTTCAGCTCAATATGTCACAGAATGACCGAGCTACAGTCAGTTTTGTGTTTGCTGCGGTAGCTGTGGCAGCCATCTTGAATCAAAATGGCTCCAAACATTAATCAGTTCTAGACATCTATCTGATGATTACTTTCTGTGAGTTTCAAACTAATCCAACAATGAGCTTCTGGTTTCTTCAGGGACCTCTATACGTCATGTGACTTGACTGCAGCAGTTAGTGTGAGGAGTGTTCTCCCATTCATTTCCAATGGAGAAATATGGCGTCTTTGTTAGCAAAATATGTCACCATGGTAACTTAGATTGCCAATAAAAGTAATATTTTCCTTCTCGAGATTGAGCTGGTCATTTTTGACATAAGTTTTGTGAGGGTACATGTTGTGTTTTGGGCCGAATTGACGGTGACGCAGGAAAAATAAATCAATAAAGAAACGCTTATTAGGTGTAGAATAACAGGGGACTGCCGTACGTTGCATGGAGGCCGTGCATTAACGGGAGGCCGTCAATTAACTGAAGGCCATGCATTAACGGGAGGCCGTCAATTAACTGAAGGCCATGCATTAACAGAAGGCCATGCATTAACAGAAGGCCATGCATTAACTGGAGGCCATGCATTAACTGAAGGCCATGCATTAACTGAAGGCCATGCATTAACTGAAGGCCATGCATTAACAGAAGGCCATGCATTAACTGAAGGCCATGCATTAACTGAAGGCCATGC